CCCACCCCTGACCTTCAGAAGAGTGTTGCCAAGTTGTGTCCTCCTAACAAAAGTAACAATGCATCTAACAGTACTAATGATAGTACACTCACCACATTGCCATCAATAACCCAACCACCTCCACAGGTAGAAACACCAGTTGTCACTGAGAAAATCAAACCTCCAGAAGCACGGATAACTAACGCTCTTCATTCTGTTCAGTCTTTGTCACCAAACCATCAGAAATCCTTTCTCTCACAGCTCTTTAATACTTGGTCACCGGCTGTTGCTGTCTAAATCCATCTCAACTTATCCCACTAACCTCGGATCACTTTCCTCGGATGCCATGCTCAGGCTACAGACAATTGGCAAACCAAATTTGATATATAAGTTTGCACAGTGTGTGGGGCAGAACAGACAAGGCACAGATGAGCCCTTGATGCCCCTGAACCGGAAGCCCTTTGGTCTGGTCCAGTACCAGATAGAATTCTTCACCTGTACAAATCATTGTCAAATGTACAGCAGGTATTTACAACTGGTATGTAGTCAATCCTCAGTTACTCGGACCCACTTGGGCTGCCTCCGTGTCCCGTTGGACCGAGGGATGTCTGTCTTTCCCCTTAAGCAGCACCCCAGCTGCATCCATGTCCAGTTGGACATGAGGACTAACAAATACTTTTCAAGCCAACAGGCACAGTTTACACTGACTGCATTGTGTATATGTTAAGCTGTCCCCGTTGGGACGGCATCCGTGTCCCGTTGGACCGAGGGATGTCTTTCTTCTCCCAACTAGTTAGATGAAATCTCCCATCTCTTATTGGACATTGGTTAAACAGTTTCTGGACTGTGATTTTGTAGATCACTATGCCAAAAGACTTTCGACGATGGCAGGACATCATGGAGGTGGAGTTCGGTACAACAGACTTTTTCGGGGTCCTGCCTGGAGTGGACTGCCTGCAGACCAATGTAAAGATCCCATGTTGGTACGTGTTCTTCATTGGACCTTTTTTTGGAAATGTGACAAAGTTGGAAAAAATTGTTCTTTAAATAGACATGACCTGCAATAACATGCATTATTCAGAATGTATTTTTTGTTCTTAAATTTCTAGGCCAGAATGAATGTTGCAGCTCTTAGCCGCCAAACAGTGACGAAGGATATTGCCAAGTCTGGAAGTACTGCAACATCAGGCATCCAAGTGAGTTATTTTAAAACCTCGATTAGATAGTCAAAGAATTATCTGACGTTTCACCTTGAGTACGCTAGGCTATCTGTTTTAATTTAAGGCATGTTTTTTCTCAAATTTAAGTCAAATAATTCTCATCTATATCGTTTGTGTGTGTGTGCTATAATTTATTACAGATTACGTACTGGAGTCATACGTCACAAAAGAAACACTATGTGAGGAAAGTGACAGTTCGTGCGCAAGAGACATTTGCAAGAGTGGACTTTGCCATCAACACACTGAAAGGTCCTGCAGGCTTGGATGACAACCAAATACACCTATTCAAGGACATTGAAACAATCGACAAGGTCTGGGAGTCACAACAAAAACACATTGAGTGCATCCAGGATCCACCAGACATGCCAATGTATAGCATTAAAAAGTATGCTACAAAGAATGGCCAGAAGCTCCCATACTACACCACAGTGAGAGGGAGTAACAGCCTAGAGGGCTTCCACAAGTATCTACCTGCCATGATTCCGGGGCCCCACTGTGCAGCGATCCCCTTCCAGGTGTACCTGTTGAGTGGGATTAGACTTCTCTGAGACTGCTGATCACCAATGCCATATCTATTTCTGTATGACAAATGTCAGCATAATTTACATTGGTCTACTGCTAATATTGATTTAATAATGATAAAATTTGATTAAATGTTTTTGGGTGCACTTAAATTTTCTTAACTTCTGTACAGTTCAAATTTCATTTACCTGGCAAATTTTACATCGGCAAAGTCATATGAAGCATATAGATTGTTAAGGAAACATATTCCATTCCTTGATTATACAGGAGTCAGCCCTCAAGGACCTCAAAGCTGCAAACCCAAAAGGCAGATTTCTGGATCAAGGTGGATGGAACGGATATCAAGCCTGCCCTGCAAGAGTCCATGAAGGGGGAATGGAACGGTGACCCTGACCTACAAGATTCAAGACTGCAACAGCTGCAAACCCAAAAGGCAGATTTCTGGATCAAGGTGGATGGAACGGATATCAAGCCTGCCCTGCAAGAGTCCATGAAGGGGGAATGGAACGGTGACCCTGACCTACAAGATTCAAGACTGCAACAGCTAAGGCCCACTTTAGACTAGAAACGCTTAATTAAGGGGTTTTGGCCAGGGAAAACGTTTCAGAACGGTTAACCGGTCCCGGTCTAAAGAGGAAAAAACGGTATATTATGGGTTTTCGCGGACCGTTTCCGATAGAGGTGGTTTTCGACCGTTTCAGAACCCTTCAGCGGGGGCCCGAAACGCTTTTTGCTAGGTCTAAAGACAAAGGGTTTCTTGAAACGGTAAACCAGGTCACGTGTCATATGCTAATCACATGCTAATAAGCCCCCGCGCGTCCATTTTCTGGTAGATTTGCGCCATATTCGATTGTGTCCATTTTCGCCATTTTATATCGTGTATTTCTCGAATTTTCGTCATCCTTTACGTCCGGAGGGATGGCAGAAGGCCAGGGGAGGGTCTGGACCCAAGAAGAGATCCGCTGCTTGATCAGCTTGTGGGCCGATCAAACTATACAATCCCGCTTGGAGACCTCATGTAATAGGGAGGGCATACAGATGCTTGTGGACGGGCTGGCGGCTGACACTACAACACGAGCAGTTCACTTGGAGAAAGCAGACTCCCTAGACACGGATAGCTGCATCAATGCCTTGCGGAGGTTCATTGCAAGAAGAGGCCAAGTGAAGGCAATGTGATTAGACAATGGAACCAACTTGGTGGGAGCCAAGACAGAACTCAGAAAGGAGTTAGAGAAGTGGAATAAGGAGAAGATTAGGGAAAACCTGTTGCAGAAACAGGTGGATTGGCATTTCAGTCCACCTACAGGATCACACTTCGGTGGGGTGTGGGAAAGGCAGATCCGCACAATCCGACAAGTGTTAAACGCAATCGCAAAGAAGCAACAACTGGACGATGAAGGACTGCACACGTTGTTCTGTGAAGTCGATAATATCCAGAAAACCCTAAGAATGAGCGTAACTGTTTCACTGTGCGGGGAACAGGCCAATTCTTCACCACATCAATTTTGTCAGGGTCAGTTGCGACACCCTTCTCGCTTACCACATGACCTAAGAACTTCACCTCCTTCTGGAACATACGACACTTGGAAGGCTTAAGTTTCAGACCATGGTGCTCTAACCTCTTCAGCACGAACTCTAGCCTTTTCAGATGACTCTCAAATGAGTCAGAGTATACAAGAATATCATCCTGATAGATCAGCAAGAAATTAAGGTTTTGATCGCCCAAACATTTCATCATAACTCGCTGAAAGGTCGAAGGTGACCCGCTAAGGCCCATGGGCATTCTTTCCCATTCCCAGGATCCCCAGGGAGTCACAAATGCTGTCTTTTCCTTGTCTTCTTCCTTGACAGGAACTTGCCAGAACCCTGATGACAGGTCTAGAGAGCTAAAGACCTTGGCGTTCCCCAGTGCTTCAAGAGATTCCTCAATTCGTGGCAAGGGAAATGCTTGTTTATGCGTGACTGCATTGAGGCGACGAAAATCGACACAGAAACGAACAGAACCATCCTTTTTCTTCACCAAAACTAACCCTGCTCCCCATGGTGACGTACTTTCCCTGATTATACCACTGTCCTTCAACTTCAGGATCTGATCACGAACATCCTGATACAAGGTGGGAGGTATTCTCCTGTATGGCTCCCGTATTGGACTAGCTGTACCAGTGGGGATGGTATGTTCAAGGACGGTAGTGTGACCAATATCAAACTTCCCCGTAGAAAAGGCAGACTTATGCTTTGCTAACATTTCCCCAAGCTGCTGGGTTTGACTCTCAGTAAGGTTAGCTTCTGATAAGTCAAGCTTGTCTGGAAACCAGACCTCAGGCCGGTCAGGGTCACTGGTCCCGTCAATCACATTTCCCGCCACACGCTGGAAACAAACCTTAACTGTATCAACACCCTCTCTCTATATACATATCTCATCCTCTACGGGTGGCACAAACTCAACAAGACTCAACTCGGCTAAAATAGTGTTATATGAAATCTGAACATCTTGTTTGGACAGGTTTGCAATCCTCACCGGAGCCTTTCCATGCCTAACAGTTACATAAGATCGTGCCACTATCAAAGCAGAGTTCAAGTTTGGACTAGAGGTGGGCTCTACCAGCGCTGTGTACGGTGTTCTACTTCCCCTAACATTGCAATAAATCACCATCTCATGTCGAGCAGGAATAGTTACTTTATGTCTACATGGAGATCGGACATAACACATTCTACCCGAAGGATCCGCTAGCTTGAGGTTCTGCTCATGGGTTTTCAAAGCTTTCTGCCACTTGCTGTCTTGACTTACTTCAACCTTATCTGGATATTGCTTACCATACTCAGTGAATAAAGTATCTCTGCATGGACCAATCACATTCATTCCCACTATGGCAGGGACAGGCTTCCCCTGGTCCTTAGTTATAATCACCCCTCTCATGGGAAGGGTCCGACCGAAAACTGTCACATCAAGCTCTACGTAACCGACAAGTGGTATCTCTTCACCATTAGCTGCTACTAGTTTAATCCATGAGTTTGAATCCTTGGGTGAAGGGCTATTCTCTCCCAAATATTCTCGAAACAATGACTCGGGTATAGTGGTAACTTGTGATCCAGTATCTAACAGACACGGGATATCTACACCTCCAAATTTAACAGTTACGTGATCGGAAGACCCTAACGTCTCTTCTCCTACCTTAACAGACTCTACTCTACTTGCTCTACTACTATTTATAGTTACAACACTAGGCAGCACCTTCTCTACCCTATCCGCCGCCGGGCCGCTATCGACGACGGAGCTGTCTAGTTTGGGGCCGGGGGCGTGGTGGAAACACCTTGCGGACTTGTCACTTTGGCTTTACATTTCCGCCAAGTGTGACCCTTACGGCCACATCTGAAACACTTCCCGGTCCAAGTAGAACTCTGAGGAGCCCCCCTACAGTCTTTGGCAATGTGCCCAACTTTTTGGCAGTTGAAGCAACGACGACTGTCCGATTTCTTGCTGTTCCGGTTTTGGTGTTCAACACTCAGCTGGTCTAACGACCTTTGCACATTGAGCAAAAGGTCCTCTAGCCTAGATGCGGGGCCTGAAGAGGCACCCATTTCATCCCAAATCTGATCATTCGCGGCTTGGAGCCGGACGGTGCCTTCCTCGGGGAGGGCTTTCTTGCCTGCTTCCCACTCCCCTGTGAGCTGCATGGCAGCCTCCTTCGCTTGCATGTAGGTTATGGCCGGATTCAGCCTGATCTCTCTTTTAAGTTGCCTCCTAACAGCGTCGTCTCTTAACCCATCAATCAACCTATCCCTCAACATGTTCTCTCTGTTAGCGAGGGGCGCTGCGGCCGGAGCTCTGTCAGCTGCCTTGGTGAGCAGTTCCTGCACAGCAAGAGCGAAATCCCTAATAGACTCACCCCGCTTCTGTTCCCTGGCATAGAAGTAACTCAGGAAATCGCCATGACTGGTCTTATCGTCAAAGCTGTTCAAGAGCTGAGCAAAAAGCTGATCAACATCGTCTCTGACTGCTGCATCTAGTTGCATCATTTCCCTCTTTGCAACTCCACCAAGCTGGCGCATGACCAGTGCCCCTCTCAGATTATCATCGACACGACACAACCTGAACACTGCTCTCATCTCTTCAATGAACTCACGCACGGTCATGTCTTTTGGGTTTCGAGACGGACCATAATACCTGGCAACTTTTCTGTCGAAAGGCGAAACGACTGGCACTGGCTGCTGCTGGTCTGCCATACTGAGACTTCACTATTCACTGATACTAGACAACACTCGATGATAATGCTAAACAACCCTTGCTAACAAAGCTTCTACATAAAAAAGGGACCGGTTCTACTAACAGTGTGCCATGTGGAAGCAACTAGTCGTTCCACCCACCTGCTCTGGTATCCAGCTCCCCGTCAGTCTCTCCTTCTCCGTTGTAATGTTGGATCTTCCACCCCAGCCGTACTACCAAAATGTGGCGATGCTCCCTTCTAGTACGGTGGTCTCTGAGCGTCGTCCACAAAAGATTAGTCGGAAAGTTGTAGTTGTTAGTGTGGTTTTATTCCCAGTCAACGGAGTTACACAAAGTATGAGCCTCTCTCGCTCCGCTCAAGAGAAGACTGACTCAAGAAACATCTATCTCCCTAATGACAACTCTGTTTTACCTTGAACTAAATTAAGGGACTTGTTTACTTCTTTTTAAATGAATGGACTTCTTATTACTGAACTTGAAGTTGTCCCTAAATCTGTGTTATGTGGCCTAGAAGAAGGGACTATTACCATATTTAGTTATGTTTTACGGTCCTACCTTACGTAACCTCAGTATACGTGTAACCTCAGTGTTCCACCCATTAACCCTTAAATTCTTGTACTGTCCTTAGATGTCCTTACAGTGGAAACAGTGTCCTTGAATGGTGGATGACCTTGAATGTCCTCATGTCCTCAGTGATGAAATTATATTGATTAAATATAGATATTAAATTAACCGTTACTTCATCTACTCCGTCTACTACGTGACACGTACATGGCAAGTTTATGTACTTCCACCGTCCTCTTGATCAAATATTTCCATTGCAGTACAGGAGCTTAAGTACAATTTGTTCTTATCATTTCCAGGGCTTCTCCTGGTTCGTGGTCTTCATTTGAAAATGGACAGAGATGGACACCTGAAGAACAAGACCCCCCTGACTCTCCTCCTTCATCACTCTTGTTGGGAAATGGACAGAGGTCGACACCTGAGGAACAAGTTCTGTTCTATCTGTGCCGTGGCAGAGAGTACGAAGCAGCCCGCAAAAGAACACACATGCTTTAAAAACTGGACAGCTTCATCTGGAGCTATGGAGGCTGACATTATCGCAGAAGGATTCTCATGCAGTGAGACAATGCACGGCCTGCGATACCTGTACCTTGTAGGGGATGGTGATTCCAACACTATGACTAAGATTATTGAACAGGTCCCACATGGCAGAAGGGTTAAAAAGGTAGAATGCGCGAATCACGCAATTCGGAACTATAGAAAAAATCTACATGCCTTGGTTGACTCCAACCCTCACTACAAAGGCCGTAATGGTCTTAGCCAGCTAAGAATCAAAAAGATCTGTGCTGGTGCAAGGGCTGCAATCAGAATGCACAGCAAGACCAACAATGGCAAGGGCCTGCAATTCGATATACGGAATGGAAAACTCTGCAACACAGCGCCTAATCCGTACCACTTGTGATGCCATCGCCCTTTGTGGTAACCAGCAGGCCGGGTGCATGGGGGATTTCGAGACATACCTGGCCCTTGATCACTTCAAACTGAAGCGCACCACTCACATGAAGTCATTCAAGGGTAACCGGTTCAACATCTTATTTGAGTGCGGTGCAGGGGTGTTTTCTTGCAAAATCTAATAGGCTTAAGTTTATCTCTGATACATAAGAAGACCAAGTTTCATAAGTAGGCAGACGTCCGTCTTTATTTTAAAAATACTTACTTGCTTATTTTCAGGATGGTGACGTCGACTCTGGTTATGAGTCAAGGGACGAGTGGGACACACCGGAAGAGGATTTCTGGGACAGTTTATGACAATTTATGAATTTATATGTAGGGTAGAGGTTACATTAGGGGCTATATTTCTGGGGAAAAAAGGGACTTGCCTAAGCCAACCACTTTTCAAACACAATTTGGGACCGCACGTGGCTTAATCTCTGGCTATAACGGAGTTATCTAGATCACGTATGGGTCTGGTTGAATCATGACAAAGTGTTTGTATCTATAAACTAGAGTTCCCCGATCTCATACCTTCGCCAAATGATGTTAATCTTTATGACTGACAAAGTTTAGATTAGATTATCCCCCCCTGATTTAAGAAATAGGAACCTAATTTTCATGAATTATATTGTTTTATCATAATCTCAACCAAAAGACAAAAAGTCTTATATTAACAAAGAATGCATTCTAGCATTTCCTAATAAATTATGCAAATGAGGTCCTGATTTCAATAAATTATGTTTAATGATGTTCACCTCAATTTAACTTTCAAATACCACAAGTATGAAATTCCAGGCAGTTATCATTACATAATTATAAAATTTTCTCATTAATTATGCAAATTAAGTTCTTTTTAACATAATCAATATCTTCCTGTGTTTCTCTCGTTGTCAATTACCAATGTCACAAGCTTCAATTGTCCTATCATGGAATGCTAGCTGATTTATAGAATTTCCCCATAAATTATGCAAATTACATCCATATTTGCATAATTGTCACATAATTATATTAAGCATCACGTAAGCTACCTACATACCAAAAATCACGACGATCCGTCAACCGGTTCTTGAGTTATCCCCTTTTGAATATTTTCAAGAATTTATCCCTGCAGTTCCAGAGCAAGCCTCTAGGGGGCCTAAACTCACGCCACTTCTTTCCCAGCACAAGAGCTACCTACCATCTAAATTTCAATACCATAGCATGTCTAGATCATGAGATATCAAAACCGGAAGTTCAGCTGCAGTACCATAATAAGCCGCTAGGGGGTCCAAAATCTAATCATTTTGAGGTCTCATCAAGACCTAACCACCTACCAAGTATCAAGACAATCCATCAAGGCCTTCTCAAGTTATCGTGTTTACAGACAGACACACACACACACAAACACACACATACACGAACGCCCCTGAAAACATAACCTTCTTGGCGAAGGTAACAACAAGGAAGACGAAGACGCTGCGGCGGAGCGAGAGGAGTACAGGGAGGAGTGGGCCATGTTTGAGGAGGACATGGCGTACCTGGCTCACCTTGATCGAATAATGGATGCTGAAGACTCCTCGGAGGATGAGGTGGAGGAGGCGAGGCGATTATACGATCAGCATGTCCAGGTCATGAACCAGTGAAGGTAAGCAGCACTCCTTTACCCAACACGGGGTTAAATGTGATACTCTGATCCCCTTCACATTGATATGCAAAGTCCATCGCCAGTTAAAGTCTAGTTAAAAGTCGACTTTCTGTTCAACAAATGATCTGTCATTGTGATCTATCATCATTATTTGTCTGGACGATCAGGCCACACCAATTTAATTTGTTGGTTCTCGGATTCGCCTCTTCATTTTTCTGATTTGCAAAAAAAAAAAAAAAATTCAGAATCAACTGCAAAATGCTCATATTTTGCCCTGAACAGTTGAAAACAGTCCTTTTCTTCCTAGTCGTTACAGTTATTCCATCTTTCAATGCAGTGGTATCATTAAAAGTTCAAAATTCATTGTTTAAATTTTGAAGCAGCCTTTTGTGTTGACTTCATACCTCCTATCGTAGCATTTGGGACTATAATAGGATGCCTAGATCTGTTTTTTTTTAAATTTTTTTTTGCCCTGTCGCTTCATATTTTTCCTGAAAAAATCCGAGAACCAACAAATTAAATTGGTGTGGCCTCATGTATCATTTTTATACTAATACGTTATTTAACAATAAACCGCATTATTTGTCATGTACCCCTGCAGTGGCCTCGCCTGCCCGTCAGTCGCCGTCCCACCCCGACCCGGTATATATATATATATATATGTTTTTTTATCTGATGTCCCGTACGTTGTAGCTGTATATACTTGTTATCCTTTATGTAGACTTACGTTCATCAGCTTTTGCTGCCTGTAAGTCTGTGTAATGTGTTGTCTGCATTTGAAATAAATAAATACATAAATAAATAAATAAAGATGCCTGGCTCAAACCAGGTGTGGCCTTTTGACTAGCCTCATGTACAATGTGTAAAATGTTTTCTCATTCACCAATTACAGCTCCTGTCATCAGTTTCTGTCCTTTCGGGGGAAGAATCTGTGCCCGGTGGACCTGGGGCAAGGAATGACATGGCTGATTCTCTCTCTCGGTTACAGGTGGACCTCTTTCGGCAGAGATTTCCACACATGGACCCTTGTCCCACACAAATTCCACCCTATCTCCTGCCGACCAACTTAATCAAGGAGTGCTTAGCCTCTCTTTGTCACCAGCCACAGTCAACGCGTACCGCCTTGCGTGGAAGCATTTCCGACAATTCACGGTGGCAATTCATGGTAAGGACCTGACACAATTGCCCATTCCGGAAGTACTGATAGGTCAGTTCATCACGTATCTACATCAGGAGGGTTACGTCCGTCTTTATTTTAAAAATAATTACTTGCTTATTTTCAGGATGGTGACGTCGACTCTGGTTATGAGTCAAGGGACGAGTGGGACACACCGGAAGAGGATTTCTGGGAGGTAAGACAATTTATATGTAGGGTAGAGGTTACATTAGGGGTTATATTTCTGAAAAAAAGGTAACTGAATAATAAGGTACGAGGAATTTTGGAGCCTCACTTGATCTGGCGACCCGATCATGGATAGACGCACGAAAGAATCGGAGAACCAGCGTCACGCCAAACGTAATGCCGCCCTAGCAGCCGCGTATCGGGCACTTGGAGAAAAGGTGTGCCTGTCCCCTTCCCAGAGGCGGACCAGGCTAACCATCTTGCGGGCAGCTATTTCGAAGATTCATCGTCTCCAGTACACCCTTAAGACGCCAACACTACACAAGGTAAGCCTCTTGCGGGTCGTACAATGACAATGTACCGTTTTATGTATAGCACCGTTACTGTCAAAGTGTTAAATACATGGTCGAAGTGAAATTAACCAACATTTATCAGACAGGGGGACCGCAAGCACTCGATGATCCAACACGGGTCGGCGGCCATGCTCCTTCGAAAAATTTGAAAATTGAACCTTCTAAATGCGTAGACCTGAGTGA